AAAACCCTGATGGCAGATGACCTGCTACTTTGTGCAAAGAAGGAGAGTTTAGGAGTGATGAGAGGTGGATTCATTCATCCATTTTGACGGCATACCTTTCTTGAGGCATATGGCACTCATACAAATTCAAACCACAGCACAAATGCAAAGAATAATTGCCCATTAAAATAGCTATATATTTTTATGGCTTTGATACAAAATCTGCCCCCTGTTGTTTTTTGCATCTGCTATTCTTCCATCTATCCTAGAGCTTTAAAACTTTAATACACAGTGTATAACCCTTAAGTATTTTTTACCAGGTTATATTCCTCCTTTTGGGAACACAAGCTTTGTCATTGTTTCTTCACTGTTTGTTTTCTAAGGCATATGCTGAGATATGGTGCCTAGAAAGTGCACCTTCCCGTCATGCTCATTAAATAAAACCAACGTTTATATTACATCTTTTGGGAGAAAATAGGATTGATTATATTTAACCTGTGAACACAAAGATTAAGGTCGTCCTTTTTTCTTCATGCTCTTATTTGCTTTTTATATAAAATCACTAGTTACCTTAATTTTACTGATACACGAACATGAATCCTCCTAATTCCAAAGGCCTTTTTATTTGCTTAGTTGTTGCAAGTTGCTGACCAGATTTCATGTTTGAGATCTAAACTGAAGTTTGAGGAAGGTGATACCCTGACAGTGTTCTCATGTTTACAAAGGGTATTCAGAAGAGAGAACTTTGGGGGACAATATTTGTTGTAATAATAATTTTTAAAATAAATTTTGTCCCGCAGTATAAAAATAGAAGAAGAAAGGAATCTTACTAGCATGATGTTCCTTTAAAAAATTCATTCAGGCTGTAGTACAAGACGATTTGTATGCTTTTGGATAATTATGTTAAGCAAAGCCAAGCACTTCCCCAGCATATTGTCTTCACTCTTCCTTTTTAATTTGAAAAAGTAAAATTGCAGTTTGACTGTTGGAACCAATTTTTTTGTTGTTATCATTGTAATCTCATTCATATTTGAATAGATGAATAACTGTAGAACTGATGGGGCTATTAGATGTGAATGTAAATTGTTTCTTTAGCTTGATATTTGATTATATATAGTCTTCAGAAAAGTCATCTTTGTTTTTCTTTTTTAACCTTATCACCTCATATCATCAGTGTGTAGTTGGAGAAATCTGCCTTTTCTCTATCACATATCAGAAGAATTCCAGTTATCAAATTATTTTGATAAATTTAATGTACTTTTGTTTAGAAGTGGACTTTGATGCTTCCCTGCTGAGAGTCAAATATATTTTCAACCCCATTATAGCAGCACTTTTAGTGACTGAGTTTCATCAGTTTGGCACTGAGTCACTAAGGAAGGTTGACCTACAAACTGTAAGCCATTCAAATCTTTATCCCTCCTGGCTAGTATATTCATTACACTTGGGGCTGGTTAATAGCACTTAATACTTCCTGACAGGAGAGCTCTTTTCATTAAATTGTCTTTATGAAGTCCATTCTTCAATTGTGCTCTCAGGGTGCCACTTCTGCTGGTTATTTTGGGATGGGAATATTAAAAAGTGGTAGCAAAATATATTTGGTGGCTATGACATACTCCTGACCATCTGATTTCTCAGCCTGGCTGAAGTAGGGTTGGGGTGGTTTTGCCTCAAATCTAGGGTGACATGATCTTGTTGATAGTTTTACCTCTAAACTAAATCTTTAATATTACTACCTGGAAATAGAAGGCATCTTTTCACATACTCTCATTTTTAGGCTGACCCAAATCAGGCTTTATGAATGGATATAATTGTTAAACATACAACTCTAATCTTAGGCCTCAGTTGATCATAAGACCTTGCAATGTCACTCTTACTTGTGTATTTGTCAGGCTTTGTTTCCATCATGTTTTATATTCTTCCTGACACAACTCCAGATCATTCTCTACCTTTCACTGATTGCTTCTACAAGCTTTTTTAGTGTTTTGCTTTAATGTAGACGTTTTATGCTTCATGATTTTATGAAAGCGACAACACAAGCTAAGCATAGCAAAACAATTATATTACTTAAAGCTTTTAATTCCAACACATCCTTTGTGTTGCAGATCCTTTGGTAATGGTAGAAATGACTGTCTTGGTTTGCATCTCCCATGAATGCTGAGCTTCGATTATGGGTTCTGGGTTAGGAGCTAAGTGACTCTTCCTGCAATCTCTGTCTTCCAGCTTTTTCTCCTTTCGTAAGAGAAAAACTTCTTTCTCATAAAAATGTAATATTTTTTAAACAACATTTTCTGTTCTTCTTCTCCTTCATTAATGGGGACACTGCTTTTTCCAGTGACGGTTCTTTGTAGAGAGCCATTCACTGTCAAAGATCTAAGGTCAGCGGCCCTTCTTGTAATTCTTTCCAAGGTGCGTCCGCTATGAAGAGTAAAGGTGATTTAGGATAAATGCTCGATTATTGCAAAATGTATATTTTGATATGTCTGTGTGAAAGCTGGAATGAATAGTACAATTAGAAGGAAAAAAGAAACGCTCACTCCACGTTAGGAGTTCATGCTTTCAGAGAGGCATGTCGTCAGTGACCAGCATACAGCTTCTGCACATTTCCAGTTGGTTTTCATTAGACCTGTGTTTACTCACTTCTTCTGAAAATAAAGAGGTAGGTCTACTCTTCACATGTGGCTGCATGGAGGAATTGATGTGCTAATTTCAAACAGAACTTTTGCAGTAGAAGGATTTTCTAGGACCCTGAGTATTTCACTGAAAGCAGACAGTTGCTTTAAATACTGCCAGACATAGGTGTTAATTACCATGGATTAATTGCTGAAACAGATCTTTGAGCATTGGTTTGGTTTTTATCGCAGCTTCTGTTTTTCTTGTGAAAGTGTGCTTTCTATTAATATGTAGAGAACTACAGATACACATGGTAGCAAAGAAGTTGTCCAAACTGCTCAAAGGTTGTCAGACTTTACTAATTCTTTTGTCAGTGGCTTTTAGGTTGGAGAAATTTCTGTCAATCTTGGCAGTTTAAGAATGTCCCTAAAGACTAAATTTTTTAAAGCTTGCTATAGAGCACCAGCCTTCAGGATTAGCATTTAAGGTATCCACAGTTTCAGATACTAGTTTTTCTCAAGTCCTTTATTTATCTGTTGGTATGGGAGGACAGACCACTCTGGCAGTGGAACCACAGTATCGCCTGTAGATCTTTTTACTCTAATGTTTGTTAGTATCTTCAGTCAGCTGAAAATTATCTTTCACTCTTTTGTATGCACATTGTATTGACTTGTTTGCAAGACTGCTTGAAAGGAGGACAATGGCTTCTGCAGTAGGTCATGATTTTAGCACTACCGTATATACTGTTCACTATTCAATGTTATTGCATATGCAAAAGTACAGCATTCAAATTTCAAATACATGATATATATGTTAAAAAATATAAATCTTTCTATGACTTTCTTTAAGGCTTCTTAAATGCCGTTGCTTGCAAAGATATCAGTAGTATGTTGAGTTCTGCAAGTTAGTCATTCTGAGTTTGACACACATTCTTTTTACAGAAAGAGGAATAAAAACCTGATATTTGCACTTTTTAAAAGACTTTTAATTTATTTGTATCACTGTAAGTTTAGTTTATGTTATATCGCATACATGTAAGTGTTTACAGAATTACTGTATAACCTTTTTGTCAGTGAGAAGGACCTGGCAAGTCCCCAAAGCTACAGTAATAAGGTAGTAATGGAGAAGTCACCATTAATCCAGTATTTTCCTTCATATGGCTACAAGTTGTGAATTTTTCATCTTGCAATTTAGGGCTTCTTTTAAAATTCAGTGCTAAACCAGATAAAAGACAAATATTGATTGAAATCAATTTGTATTTCAGACTTCAAAATCTGACTGGTTTATACATTATTGCTTCCACTTGCTTGAGTCTTATTAGTATTGCTAAGCAATACGTTTTTTTTTTTTTAATCCTTTATTTACATACTAAAAAAAACCACCTTCAACACAGTGAAGCACAACTGAGGTAAACTGAGTGCCAACAGAGCTGGATTTGATTTTCACTGTCTCACTGATGAATTCTGAAAAAAAATACCTGTTCTAACATTGGCCAGCAATATAAGTACAAAGGAGAAATGAAGTAGTGAAGCACTGGTTAAAAAACTGACAGAGAAAGTAAAGAAAAAAATACGGTTAATTCTTTTTAACTTTTCAATTAAGTTTACGGAGAGAGATGTTTTACAGACATTTACAGAAAAAAAAAACCACCCACTCTTAAGTAGTACTGTATCACTGTTCAATTTCCAATTAAAGTATTTTAAGTCTCACATGGAATGGTAATTGGTTGCAATTTTGACGCAAAAATGTCTGAGTTGTTTTCTTTGTTTAAATTTTCTGTTGAGTCTGAACATTATCTCAGTTAAGATAGGTATTTTCAAACTCTGCAACTCTTGCTTTTGAAGGAGTAATGGGTACTGTTATGAAGAATGTACCCCTCTAAAATTTGAGAAAACTCTTGCTTTGTCTGTCTTTCACTTGATTCACAATTAAGACACGGAACAAAAACAAAGCTCTGTTTGATTGGTAAAGTCATCAGATAATTTACATCACTGGAGGTTATCTGTCACCACTCAAAGCAGGGCTGACTTTTGAAGATACATCCATTTGTGTGATGGGATTGTCTCTAAGACTACAAATTTGAGCCTGAGGGGGGTGACTTGGGCCTCAAGAGTCTCCTGGTAGCAGTATTGTCTAAAACAGCCAACATTATTTTTAATAGTGTCTTCTAAGAGAATCAGAGCCACCTATGATACTGCCATCTAAATCGCCAGTTTGCTGTCTCCTGTTTGCGCGCAGTTTTTGTGTAAAAAGACAAGACCTCTGGTTAAAAGATTGATTTACTTATTTGGTGTCTCCCTCATCCAATTACAGGCAAGCTTTGATACAAGTGCAAACATGCTGCTATGTTACCCTTGTTTTAAACCACTAGACTGATCTGACTATTTTACATTCATTCCTCTTCTTCCCAGTGCCAGGATTTCCCTACCCTGCTGCCACTGCAGCTGCTGCTTACAGAGGTGCACATCTAAGAGGCAGAGGTCGCACAGTGTACAACACATTTCGTGCAGCAGCACCCCCCCCTCCGATTCCAGCCTACGGCGGGTAAGGAGATCAGCCTCATCCAGCTATTAGCATGAGTCTCCAAAGGCTACAAGCTATTTGTGACTGTGGTGCATGCTGATGGTGTCTCACTGCAGAAACCAGCGCAGAATGCGACCAATCCCAGTGCTGGAAGTGGTGCACCTTGCATGGAGTATTGAAAAATGACTGTAATTTGTACTGCCATGGTTGGTGGCCTTAAGCATTTCAAATGTCACATATTGTTATGTAAATGCTCTTAGAAACTGAATGCTTTGGAACAGAGAAATTGTTTCAGCTAAAGATATATTTTTGATGATTGCAAGCATCTGGTTATTAAGGAGGTTGGATCAAGTTAACTTCTTTTTCTTCAAATCATCCACTGAAAGTTGTCTCTGGACCTGAAGGCTTAGTGGCGGGGGGGGGGGGGGGGGGGGGTATGTATTTTTTCTATCTTTATTTTTACTTTTTTATTGCAGTTTCTTTACTTTCTCTAGTTGTTATCTATCTGTTCCACAATAGAGATGTGGGGTGCTTCTGTCAGGGCCATGTGTTTATCAATACATTTGCTTAAATGATACCTTAAGATTTCACTGCAGCAACCTACATTTGCTAAAACCAAGTAGTAAACTAAGGAACAAAGGACAGAAATATGTAGTAGTAATTTTTAGAAACTCAATAATATTCTGTTTTGTGAAATTCAATAATATTATAGATTTTTTAAAGTGTATTTTTGAGGGAAAGAAGATAGAAACAAAATCTGTAGCTCTAAATTCTGACGCTGAAAGATCTTGCATGCTGTATATTATAAAGTCCTAATGCTGTCAAAAGATTTTCAGCTATGAAGAAATCGGGAAATTTACAAATGTCAGAAAACTTGTCAAAAAACAACTTTGTCAAAAACAATTTGAAGTAAGTATGCTGCTACCTCTCTTCAGAGCAACCGGATCTTTCTGAGGAAGGGTCAGGAAGGGTTTGCTAAGTCCTTGAGTGAAGGTGATCTCTCCCTTCACCCTCACTAAACTCCTGTTCAGTAGCTCATGACCTCTTGCTGTGGATATCCCCTTGTGAGGGAGCCTGCAGCACAACAGCCTGTCCTCCTACTTTTTTACAGTAGAAGAAGGGTTCCCTTCTCTAGTTCCCACAGTTTTTCATGCAGCCTTTGTTCTGTTAAGCCAGAAGGGATGTCTTTTTCTAGACAAGTGTAGTACTCTAAGCAGGCAGGCATTGGGCTAAATTTTCAGGAATACTGAAGACAGGAACTTCGACCATTCACATTGGGCTGTTATCACCTCAGAGAAGTAAGGTGATCTAAAAATGAGTATAAAGATGATGCTAGAGAGTCAAGTTACTTTGTAAAAGTGATTTTTTTTTTTCATTTTAGTGTTTTGTGTAGTTTAATAAGCAAAATAATACTAATTTACTAAGCAAAGCTATTACCACTACTGGATTATTACCATGAGTTTTGGAGATTGCCTGACTTACCTTTGGATAAGAATGGTGTCCCATCAAAGTTATCCTAGTGTTTCCCAGGGTCTCATTTAGAGTTAATCCATGTAATTGTACATGACAATGATGGGAACAAGTTTAGAATGCCCTGCAAGAGCTGCTTCCAATCTGAATGTGTCAGCTACAAAATGGATACTGTATAGAAAGAAAGTGTGGACTCTTTCCATCTCCACTTAGTTTAAAAATAAATTCTTAAATTTGAACATAGAGTGCAATATGTAATGAGATAACAGCAGGCGTTACTACTAGTTTCATGATGTCACGAACATGATATCTTAGTTTAATACAAAGTCATAAAGTTACGTAAGAAAATATATACCAGCTACATGTGATAGGTTTTGAATTGAACAATACTGTCTTTGTTAGTATTTCAAAAATGAGTAAATGCTTTCAGACCAGTAAGTAACTTAAGTTTAGTTTACTTTAAGGGGCCACATGTGGGTGCTCTGTGTGTGTATATGTGTGCGCTATATAAATTTTTATAGTTCAGTTGTTACAGTGAAGTTCAGCAAGAAGAATTAAATTTGCAAGTGTAATATATCTATATTCTCATGTAATTACACTGCTTACTTTCAGCATCCTTAGATACTGTATTAGATGTTTAAGTGTTGTGAACTCCTGTTGTAAGTTTTGCACTGCAGTCAGGTTGAACAGTATTTCAGAACTGGGTTCCAAGAAGTCAGCTCAGCACTCTTATGTTCTTCTGCACGTTGATTTGACAGTTAGGATGGACAGATCTCACATATTACCTTTGTGACCTGTCCTTAAATCTGACTTCAGAGGGAGCCATGCATTGCATCATTAAGAAGTCACATCTTCTCCTTGTTCTTATGACTGACTGAGACGGATCCTTGGCAATCTAGGATTCACCTTGCCAGTTAATATGTTTTCTAACACAACTTGATTCTGCAACAGTTTTCAATTAGTAAGTTTTGTCTTAATTTAGGTAGGTCTCAATTCAAATATCAGGCAGGTTTAATTTTCTCTACCTACCCATGATTTATAAAAAGGCACTGCTTTCCGATGCACAAAACAATTCTAAAACTTCTGTAATTCATGGATCAGTGCAGAAATAATACATACCTCTGTTGTACTGATTCACAGTTGGATTAATAAAGCTTTATTCTGAAATAGTTTCTTTGGTTTAGAGTATTAGATCTTGTGCTAGTCACTTCACTGATACAATGGTAAAATTTGGATTTGCTTTGCAGTGCTTTCTTCTGTGCTCACCGATTATGTACTCTGACCTATCAAAGAAGCAAAAAGGAATTTTCATCAGAAAAAATCCTTAATCAATGAAAATAAATCATAAGAAGGTAGTTTTCAGTCACAGTGGGAGTAGGTGTCAGGGAAAATTACAGAGATAATAAAGAGATCACAGAGAACGAATCAACTTAACAGAAGGAAGCAAACAACTTGGAATATCATTTGTTGATAAGAAAAATGGAAAAAGCTTTGAGTGCTATTTTGCAATTCATTTAGTAGCAATTTCTCATTTTTCACTCTAGGAAGGAGACCAGCTTTAGAGCCAGACAACAACAATTTCATACTGAAATACTTTGAATCATAAAAAAAAAAGGACATTTATTTTTTATAATGATAGATATAATTTTAAATTTACATCAAATTCCAGCAGTATTTAGTTAGAAAAAATATTGCTTTTCCTTTTAAAGAAAGAACCCACATATAAGTGTAAAATACAAAGTTGAAGATTGAAATTACCTTTTTCATTTTCTTTTATTTGCTTAAACTTCAAAAAAAAGCTTATTAGTGAAGTAAAATAATAGTTCATCTGAAATAATCTTCTTCATGCTTGCTTGCATTACAAGGTTTTGGAACTGAAACTGAATAGTTTTGCTTTAAATTTGGAAATCAGCTGTAAAGCTGGGAACATGTATTTCTTCAGCTAGTCCAAACTGCTGCTTACTATTGTTTATTTCAGCAGCACTGTCTCAGTGTTTGCCTCTCCAGAAAAAAAGCCGCCTTTCTATCCAGTCTCCCTTCAATCTGTTTTTGTTCTTGTTCACTGGTGTCTGATACTGACTGTGACCTTTACTTAGAAACTGTTTGTCAACAAAGTTAGAAAAGACAATGAGTCCTGGGCTGTAAGTAAATCTGGAAATTCTTGTGGACATTAAGCTAAACAAAGTAGTGTGGTTCATATGGGAAGCTGCCTTCAGCTGTGCCTCACAGTTACTGGGAAACAGCAAATATGGCACACTTTGCTAGGTCTGAGGAAAATTGTTGATTATAGCCATAGTTGGAGGCATTGTTTTCTTATAAATCAAAGAACAGCACACATGCTTTAAAACATGTCATTTAAAAATGAAATCAGTGTTCATGAGATATGTAGTACTACATAAATAATTAATGGCTCCTTTACTCGTGAGTGAGGCATTTCACTAATTCCTTGAGATAGCATCTTGTTTATTAGCTCATGGAAAATACTTAATTTTTAGGATCTGTGGCATCATTTCTAATGCCTTGAAATACTAAAATGTGCAGCTTGCTTACAACTTTGTATGTATAATTCATTTATGTGCCATAAAAATCTACTGAAACTGAAATGAGGGAGTAGAGTTTCATTTGTTTGAGAAATCTGAATGCTGAAATGTAAAGAGTTTAAAGATCTCAGTTGCATGAAGAACTTAGCTTCAACACTATGTTGCAGGAGGAAGGAAAGCAAGAGATGGTGGTGTTGATGGTGTGAGAGCTGCATGAAGATCAGAGCCTGTCACTATAGGAGGATGTAGCTGTGGAGCTGTGCGCTATTGCCTGCTTGTCTCAGGGGGCTCTCCACGAAGTTCACAGCAAGATTGAGCGCTTGGTTGAGGAGCAAAGCAATTACTCTTTTAAGCTGACTAAACTCCTTCAATACCTTCTTTCTTGGGACAGCCTCCATGAGGGAGGATTTTAGTTTAGTGGTTCTTCGACCTTTCTTGCAGTCTTCTCTCTGGGTACTAGGTAGTGTTTTGTACAAAATAATTATTTTTAAGTTCTTAAAAAGCAAAAAAGAAAAATTATCAATGTAAAAAACCGAAATCATCTTGGTTTTACCTGTGTCTTTGTAGGATTATCTGTTTTATTTGCAAAGTGTCTACTAATGGTATGCCCTAATAAAGCAGAAGCTACTAGTAGAGGTAGTCTTATGACAGATTTTGGATGCAGTTAGCAGTACTTATATTGCCAAAAGAAAGGAGAAAGAAGCAGTAGGAGTTTTTTCTCTCTTTGGCAAAGTACTGGAAGCAGGTGATCTGATTTTGATACCTCTAATTGCTTCTGAACTCTGTAGCAACTAGTACCTCAGCATTCTTGGAAATCATTTGCCAAATAGTAAAACATCATGAATGTGATGCTCCATCTTTATACTGCTGTCAGGAAAAGCCATTGTCACTGTATATCTGGTGGTATTGCAAATAGTACTAGTAGATAGTGGTAGTAAAACTAAAGTTCCAGCATCATTTGCCTCAAGTAATTCATAAGTTTAGTGTGTGATAGCTTTGTCTTCACATTTCCCCTCTTCTCCTTCCAGTCCTGATGAAGCTAATGGAGAATTAGCTTTCAGTCCTTATCTCCAGTGCTGGTGTCTTTACTGGGAAAGCAGGAGATAGCTATATGCTTTTTTCTCTTTGAAAAGAAGAATTACAAAAAAGAAAAATGCTTGGGGAGCGTAGAGGAGAATTAGCAGAGACTATTCAGAAACTCTTCCCTTTTATTAAAACAAATGTTTTGAAGTGCTACATTCTAACTGATTCAAAATGAAAAAGCTTGATTTTCCAATACCTTATTCTAAATTTAGGAAAAAGGGATAATTACTGGAAGCTACTACATCTGCTACAGTGGTTATGGGTTTTTTCCTAATACATTTCTTTGGGCTCACCGAAACTTCCTCTTATTTTGGACTCTGTGCTTTATATATATGTGAGATTTCTGGGGAAAAAAAATGTGTTTTGCCAGTGCATAGCGATTTATGTTTTCCAGCTTTGTTCTTTCCACCAATGCCCCCAATTAATTTTCCAAAGCAGATAATGTAACTTGTTTGTGTCAGAAAGTGCTGAAACTGAAAAGACAAGAAGCTGGAATTAAGAGTCCTAAAAAGTTGAAACAGTTAAAATTTTGTTATTACAGTGTTGAAAGGCACTACTTTAATTCTCAGTCTTTGGTTTATTTTGAATAAGGCTGTAGCAGCATCTCTTCCATTATTTGTTTCATGAAGGCATCATAAAATCATGTATGAGAGGTTTCACGTAAGAGGTGATTTCTAAGACCAGAAACTGGAAAATATGTAGAGGACAGTGAAGGCAACCCTACCAGCAATCAGAAAACAGAGAACCTTTGTTCCTCAGGTGCTTTTTCTTATTAGTAATGGAAGGGAAATAGTGAATTATAACCATGATTCCTATTGCAATGAATGAAATCATGATTGTAATGCCTGTTTGTTACACTGAATCAATCACTCCATGCGCTTAATCTGCCTTAGGTTATTTATGTTAACTTATGCAGATTGTGTGTATGGCTGAGGGCCGTATATACTCAGATGCTATGAAGTTACTGAACTAAGGTCTGTGCAGTCAAGAAATGTCTTCTTATGTTATTGATAGATTATTCAACCCAATCCTTTTGAAAGATGAGGATACAAAAGTGATAATGAAGACAGAGGTAGTCCTCCCAGGATACTATAAAGACAGAATCTGAACTAGGAAAGAGTTTGTCTTAATATAGTTACAAAAAATGAGTATAGGACACAGAGACCAAAATAAAGCAGCTAAAGCCATGCAAATCAAATGTATAATAGTTAGTGAGAAAACAGTTTCATATTTCTAGAAAAATAATTTCAGGAAATGATTGCCACATAAAATGTTATTTAGATGCATGTTTTCTTATTAAATTAAGATCTCTCTTCTCTGACTTTTCCTTAACACAATAAAATCATAAAATACAACTGAATAAATCCCCCAAATTTGTTGTTCTTATTTTAATGCCTCTAGGTAATGCATTAGCATATCATTCATTTCTGGGTGAAGTTACTCAGATTTCAGTAACATGGATGTTTCCAGACCCTGTGTTGGTTTACAAGGAGCTCCAGATTTATCTGTCTGCCAGCACAATTTTTAGAATATAAAGTGTAAAAGGAGCTTTGCTGAGATGGGTCCCTATGTGATACATTCAGTCTCTTCCCATGCTTGAGACTTCTCATCTGTTTTCTGCCTACGGCTTCAGAGGGAGAAAAGGGGATGATAAGCCAAGCAAATTACCCTTTGGAAAATTATGTACTGAAGGAAAGAAAAGCACAACAGCAAAAGATAGTTCTTGGTGCTTTACAATTTGTCCTTCTGATAAAAAGTGCTGTTAGAAAATACATTTGACTCCACTGGTATGGTTCAGCCACAGGAGTCAGTGAATGACAACGACAGTGAATAAAGAAAACATTCTCTGAAAAACCTATGAACATGTGAAGAATTACTTTTCTTCATACCTCAAAAGAAGTAGATTTTATATTTAACATCACTATCACACTACAAGACCATATGGTGGAAATAAGATAAAATCAGCTGATATCTTTTCATAGTGCCTGTCCTGCTTGGAAGCATTATTTGCCTGAATCTGTCACTTCATCTTAATACTAACCATTTTTAATGATGAAGTCATGCATTCATGTCTCATTTTAGTGCTGAGTAATTCAACCAGCAGCTGCATATTTAAAGTTCAAAGTAACTAACTTTCTGTACATGACTGAGTGTTATATGGAAAAGGAAGGTCTAGTTGAATGACCTAGCCAAGACTGCAGCCAGCTGCACTTGGGATTTCAAAATGTATCAGCCCCTATTTGTCTTGTGACATACTCAGTGTATATCCACAGATCACCAGGAGGAGGAAGAAAAAAAGTCCGCTTTGTGACGCATATCCTCTCCAAAGCATGATTTTCTGAATAGCAATGTTTAACAATAATTGAAAGTATTTTAATGTACTGTGGGGGGTTGATCTTGGCTAGCTGCCAGACTCTCACCCAGCTCTGTTCTCATTCACCCTTCTCAAGAGTATGGGGGAAGAAATATAGAAAAGCTCTTGGGTTGAGATAAAGACAGGGAGATTGCTTGCCAATTACCATCACAGGTAAAACAAACGTGGCTTGAAATTGATTTAATTTATTGCCTATTAAAATACAGTAGGATGATTAGAAACAAACATAAAAACACCCTGACCTCCTCCCCCTTTTCTTCCCAGGCTCACTTTCACTCTTTCATTCCCAACCCTACCTCCTCCCAGGACAAATGGCACAGGGATATGAGGAACTGAGAGTTGTGGGGCCCCCATCCTCAGTAAACTTTGTATCATATGCATATCATCTCATAAAGCTCCTTCCATGCTGTTCAGGATTGTGTACTTCTGCCTCACAGTCATGTGGAATGTTTTATTTCTTAAACACATATAAGAAAAACAAATAATATTTAAAAATAATCAGAATGTTGAAACCAAAATGAAGGTACACTACAGTGTAGCTCTCTGAAAGCTACTGATGTATATACCAGCTTTGGCATATATTGCTCTGCAGACATATTAGAAAAATACATGAGGAAAGGTCTGACCTTACTGAAGCAAATGGCACTCTTAAGTGGAGCTGAGTTTTCACACATTACTATTCCCTAGCAAAATTTTATTGTCAGTGTGGTTTTATCAATGTCATTTGTGTGCATGTATACATATTTATGATTTTCTCAAGTGATTCTTACTTAGACACATACCAGCTCAGCCCTGTGTGTTTTGGTCATTGACCTCAATAGATCAGCTATATTTCTGACATGAAAATTCTTGTTGGAATTGCAAAACAGCTTAGGCTAGCAACATGATAGTAACTATTATTCCAGATAATGGTATTCCTAAATTGAAAGTATTGTTGCAAAAAGCCTATTGTGTGCTCTCATATTTAGCTCTCAAAACAGCTTGGGTTGATTCTGATACTGGAAATACCCGTTTTAAGTTGCAGAACTGTCAAACGAATGTAAGATTGCAATACTTGTGTAATGTGTGTAATTGGTAGGCCACTGGTGTGTAGCTCCAGTTTTATTTAGTGTAATCATTTGAACTATGTTTCTCATACTGTGTCATTTAAACTGTTTTCACTGATGATTTATCTTAGCTGAAACGCAGCAGTCTCTGGGTAAGCTGTAAACAGCAATGTAAAATACTACTTTTTTTCAAATGAAGGATAGTAACAGAGCCAGCCGAAACTGCAAGGGAGCTCAGAACCATTGGCATGTTCACCAAAAGTGTAAAATGATACAGTGAGGATGGTTAATACTTTTTTTAGTAAGAATAACACCATGACATACTTAACAGACCTGTTGTCACTATTGGAACTGTGTATCAATCCAACAGTGCAGTACCTATGAATACTCTCATCTCTGTGTACATTGACCCAGTGGGTAAAACACCACCACTACAGTTATTTCACACATTCCTCTCACCATATAAACTTCTACTGTGGAGTTTTTTTCGTCTAAGTAATGACAATTACTGCTTTGTTTCAGAGGGTTGACATAATTGCAGGACAAGAAAGCAGTAGTTCAGGAGACAGCATTTTGTTAATCTATTAAAACTGATTGTAGGGTTGGCCCACTGAAAATTTTTATAAAAGTGCTGCCAATATGTGGCTTCCTATAAAAAAAGAAGAAATAAAAAAAATACTAAAACCTTATCAAAGGTATTTTCCAATCCTGCCATGCTTTGCTTCTCTATGACTAAGCATTTGGCATACCTTATAAGATGTTGTACTTGGTACAGTTTCACTTCTGATAATTACTACCAACCTCCTTAACCAATGTGAAGAGTGCCTTCCTTCCCCCCTCCCTCTGTTCTTGTGACAAGACTAACCTCAGCTGTGCAGGGGTTGGTGGCATTTGCATGTGGAAATGCACTAATATGGATGTTTTTCTTTGTGTGTGCATCCTTGCAGTGTTGTATACCAGGATGGATTTTATGGTGCAGACATTTATGTAAGTATTCATTGATGTGCATGCTGTCCTTGTACATTACCAGAGTCATTCTTTTTACAAGTTTGCTGCCTAGCCTGACTCTGTATTGTCTATTTACCATCCCTTGCCTGTCAGAAAGAATTGAGAAGAATATCTCTCACATTGGAAGACCTTTCTGTTCATTACATCTATCATTGTTCAGTGGAGCTGAATTAACTCTTCAATCAAATGCTGAATGAATGCAAAAATATGTGAAAAATGTGTGTGCATGTGTGGAGGGGTGTCTCCCTTCAAAATTGAAGTTCAAAGAAAAACAAACAAAACCAAAGCAGAAACATTCTGCAAATCCCCAGAAACTCATTTTTAAAAAATGAAGGCAAGCAGAGTTTTATTAATACTTAAAGTATGAAAATACTTTATGGAGAGAGGTAGGTTTCCTCAGTCCAGGAACCCTGGGTATACATAAGTGCCAGGGTAATAGAAAAGCTGAATTACATAGTAAGATTAAGGTACAGCTATGCATTTTCTGTAATCTGAGTATATTTCCATCTGCTCTTTTAAAATCCACTTATTTCAGTTTAAAGGAGTAGAGACTGCTTATGATATAAGAAGTGACTATATTTGTTAGTAAATGTTATAGCTTAGATCCATCATTATGGACCAGTTCACTTCATTGGTCACCAATTTCCTTTTAAATAATATCTAAGTTTCTTACTGATACTGAATTTTTTACTTTGGGTGTATGCAAAGAGGCTACTTATGTCTGAGTATGCAAGAAGTTGAGGCTTAATTTCACTCTTCTAAAATAGCTAATTCTTATATATGTAAATGGAAAATATTTTAGTCATACTCAGTAACCTTTCACATTTGTATTATTCTGATAAAGCAGTCTGGTCCTAAGTTACAGGTATCTTTATTTCACCAGACAGCTTTCTCTACCTACTTGTACTTCTGTTACACTGTCTCTGTTGAGATACAAAAAGATGGATGAGTTGTAATTGGTATGAATATTAAAAATTTAATAGGTAGTATAGAAAATATTTGTTGTATTCATTAGCAGCAGAAAAAAAAAAAAAAAGAATTTATGGATGAAGGTAGGTTTTGGTTTTTCTGATGGAGGTAGAAGGGGGTTGATACTTACCTGAAAATTCATTTGTGTAGGTTAAAACATATATTTAAAATAAATTAGCATGGGTCAAAATTCTCTCCCTGTTTACTTATGTACTTAGTTATGCAGTCTGTAACGTATTGTTTGCAACACACAAGAATCAACCATTTGCCAAAGGCTTACTCAGGTATAATATGGTGCTCTGATCTCTCAACACAATCCTGCTGAATTTTTGAGCTATGTAGGAGACATGGTAGAGGGTGGAATTCCTTCAGGTGTGGTTTCCAATTTCCATAGTTCTTCAAACTGCCAAAAGAACATGACATTCATTTTGCTTAGTTTACCAACCCAAATTCTGAAAGGTGACAAGTCATCTTTCTCAGGATTGCTGAATGTGATAGTACAGGTGGTAACCAACTGCTAATGTAACAGTTTGTCCTTTTGGAACCCCCTGCTGCTGAAAACCAGGAATATCTCTTTTTGTGATTGACAGTACTATTTTTAGCTGGCCTCACACCTTCTCACAGACTTCAACATTCTGTTTCCAAATGGAAAGTGCTTTCAGTGAGGAAGATACAAAAGAAATTACAAATTTCTAGTGTAGCCTCAGCTTTGTGGTCTGGAATAGTCATGTGCATTAGGAAATAGAATAACTATACTGGTGCACTGCTTTTCACTCAGTTGCAGCCTTCTATTTCTGATTGCATTTCTTAGTTTTCTTAATGCAACGGGATGTTTACCTTTACAGTGGTTGACAGAATTCAAACACTCTTCTGGAAATTTTTTGGGTGACTTGTTTTTTTGTTTTTTTTTTTTTCTGATGTTGTTTGTTTGTTGAGGGTTTTTTGGTTTGGTTTGGGTTGGATTTTTTTGTGTGTTTTGGGGGTGGTTTTTCATCATGTACAAAGCTTCTTATTTTATAATTATTTTTTCTTCACATCTGCTCGCTCTTGCATATAAAACATTTTGCAGGGAGGGGGAGAGAGAGGGAAAACTGGTATAAATGAAAAGAAACCCTGCAGTTCACAGTGTATTAGTTCTTAGTGTATTTGCAGTGGACTAGTCACTTCTTAAATCCCAGTTTATTATGACAGTCATACTTGGCTTTTCATTTTAAGTTCAGTGCTGAAGCTTTGTGAAAGAACTATGCTCTGTGAAAAAAAGGAGAAAAAATAAACAATGCACGTTTTAATGGTAGATTCTATAGTAGATAATATAGATTTAATAGTATAGTAGATGATAGTAGATTTAATAGTAGATGTAGGGAAAGGAACCTTAAAAATACTGTAGAAAGCAAAACAGAAGGAACACAGTATTAAGAAGCGAGACCAAAAATATGCATTAACAAGTATATCAAAGTGTGTTTCATTCTGATATGATTACATTGAGGACCAACCGTAATATAGACCATGCTGTTGTTTTCGTAACTATCAATATAGATTTTGATGGTTGATTTTGTGGGAAGACAAGAATGATACTGGTTGGGTCAAAAGTGCATGGGGAGCCAAGAACAGGAAATAGCCAGAGTTGCTTAATACTAACAAGGGGAATATAAGAGAACAGAACTATAAGAACAAGTGGAAAGTACAGACTAAAACGAAAAATCAACAGCCATGATTCTAGATGTAATCTGTATTTCATGTCGTTCTCTATGGAAGGTAATAATGCTTCTGAAATAGCAGAGATATTGAATTCCTTTTTAAATGTGCCTTTGAGTGGGTAAAATAAAGGAGATTATTAGGAACTAAGGAAGACCTTTTAAAATTAAGTATTGATTCACTAAGAGAAAAAGTCATTAAAACAGAATTAAGGGTGCCTGCCAGCAAATATCTGAGTTCCTAGATGAAGATTGACACCTATGAAAATATCAAAATTCACTCTACAAAATGGAGCAAAAATAATAACATACATGGAAATATGCAGTTAGAATAATAGCTTGACACTATTGCTCTGTTTCATCTTAAATCTGATTTGTTGGGTTTTTTACCACTGTCATAAAGAATGTGTTCAGAACATGTCAGTCTTCAGTCCACAACTTAAATGTGAAAAGGCAAAGCAATATGAGTAACATCCAAACTCTGTCATCACCAGCTTCAGAAGTCCCTTGGTTATACAGTTGAACCATGTACATTAGTCAGTCTTACTGTTCACAGCAAGATTTTCTAACCTGTTCTCCAGATGCTGGACCTGTGATACTGCAACAACAATATAAGATTTTTTTCCTAAGATGCCAATCAAGAACAAGGCATACTTTTGTGATTGGGGTAGGGAATGAGATTATCAGTAGCTACTGCCATTGCCTTTAGCTCAAAGGTCAGATGGTACTGAGGGTGAAGTGCTTACATACTTCCCAAGCAAAAAACAGATACAATTATCAAAGCAACATTCCCTTGATACTAGGTAGAAGACCATTGATGCAGTCAGAATCCCTGAAGGTGCAGTTCTAATGTGAAAAGCAAGGATATGCAATTAATACTGAAGTCCTTCTTTAAAGTACCAAAGTGTTTCGTGTTTTGTAAATGAAAGAATGTGCCATTTCTGTCACAGAACAGAACAGTGGAGAAATTACTTTTCCAAGGGAAAAAGAGTTCCCAAGTAGCAGTGGGTCGCTTCTCCTAGTGGTCCATGTGCTGGAACATTATGCGATGCCTTTTTAAAAGTTCTGGGATCTAGTGAAGAATGTCTTTTCACCTCTCTGATCTCCATTTGTGACATAAACAGTACATTCCAAAAAAATGCTAGATCAGTCCTGGTGACTGTAGTTGTTTGGAGTTAATACAGATGGTGTCAGTTTGGATATACTTCCAAGAGCTTCTTTGAGGCAACAGCTACCTCTGGAAGCCCAACAGAGAATTATCATGAACATTTCATTTAGGTTGGCTTGAGCCATCACAAAGAGGTGATGGATATTTTATTTTTAATTCTCCCACTCAAAGTTTTGCTGCATGAGCAGAACAAATACTGTTTAAACCTCAATAGCATACGAGTATAGGAAGAGGAAATTACTTCTGTTTTCTGTATTCTGAAGGGTTAGGTATAATTCATGCCTGTTTTAGACACATTCCTCTATTTGTAGCTAATAAGGCAGGTATCATTCTCAGTACTAGAGAAGGTTTTGATAAATTTGCGTTCACAAAGTACTTGGAGATCCTTGATTGAAAGGAAGTATAGGAAGTAAAATTTGGGAAAAAATTACTCTGAGCATTCACATAGAAAGCTGGGGCTGTTCAGCCTGGAGAAGGCTGTGTGTAGACCTCATAGCAGCCTTCCAATATATGAAGGGGGCCTACAAGGATAGGATGCCAGAGAGGGACTCTTCATCAGGGACTGTGGTAATAAGACAAGGGGTAATGGCGTCAAGCTTAAACAGGGGAGATTTAGGTTAGATATAAGGAAGAAGTTCTTTACTGTGAGAGTGGCACAGGTTGCCCAAAGAAGTGGTGAATGCTCTATCCCTGGCAGTGTTCAAGGTGAGGTTGTACAGGGTCTTGAGCAACCTGGTTGAGTGAAGGGTGTCTCTGCCTGTGGTAGGGGGTTGGAACTAGATGATCTTTCCAACCCTAACTATTCTATGATTTTATGAAATATGTTAGTAATAGGAAAAACTAATGAGAAAATGCCCATCATATAGAGTCACTTTGTTTACCTTTATCTGTGGTAAAAACTGACAGTACATCTGAGATCAAGATAAAATAAAAGTTCAGGTATTTTAGGAGGAGGTGCACACATGTATATACATAATTTTGTAATCTACGGATGTGTGTTTGTATAACTCATTTCTGTAGGAGTTATACTTACTCAGATATACAGACTTTATTTAAAAATTCAGATGCATTTGATTTCCTGTTCATTTCCATTTTATCATACCTGATATAAAATTTCTATCGTTTCATTCTAAAAATTATTAAGTTTCTCTGTAACAATTGGCTACTGATCTTAAATGGATCCCATTGCTCTTTTTCAATTTGCCTGAACCACAGAGAGTTATGAAACATCAGAGGGAAAATTGTAATGTGTGGCTCTGGAGAATTTGTCTGAATTCCTTCCTTACATTCCTTCTTTCCTTACTCATTCAAATCATTTCATTTCTGATTCTTTATAGAGCAGTATTGCAAGAGCCTGTGTATGGCAGTAAGTTACCACAGGTATGACATGCAGACTGAGGGAAAAAAATTCATTACACTGAATTTAGACTCTTGTAAAGTCATAATAATACTCAAATAATTATGAGAAAGTGGATTCTGTGTGTATAAGTGATAAGAATAGACAGTTGCATTTTATTTTCCAGACTCTTACCACAAAATCACAGATATTCTTCATATCCCGTGAAATACACAGTTACTGTTTTGAGTGTCTTGTTCAGTATTTTATGCTTGTGAGATAAATCTCTGTATCTGAACTGTGAGTGTACTGACTCTATACTTAATTTTGTAAGACAAACTGCTAACATTGTGTTATCGTTGCTTTGGAAGTATCAAATATGGGAGCACAGATAAAACAGCAGACTTTTTCATTATTTTAGCTGAATTTGTTATTTCAGCTGAATCTGCAAGGTAACAATTTAAAGCATAACAGGTACTTTCTGTTTGAATGTATGGAGTGAGGGGGGGAAAAAGCATTCCTAAAGTATTTATAAAACATAGGAACTGAAAATTATTATTAGTATGTAGTTGCTATTTTGTTCTAGATATTTCATTTTGTAATATAGTCTAGGGCAAATACTTATTTAAATAGTTATACTTGAGTACGATGATAAGTATTTATTGTAGTACTCAAGAGGTGTACATGTAGTGAATATCACTTGTGTGTTTTTCGTCTAAGATACCAACCAAGTTCATAATTAGAAAATAAAATAGAACTCATCACAGAAGTTTAGAGTTCAGGGGGTTGAATCAGTTTTCCGTACTGATCCCTAATTTAAAACATTCTGTTGCTGCAGTGATAGATCATCTGAAATAACTGAAACAAGACAATAGCAAAACTTAGTACTGCAGGATTCAAACCTCATAAAAATAATATGCTTAAGAATGTTTTTTTTACAGGATAGCTTACGTTAAAAACATGAAACCATGACATGGGCTGGTAGGGATTTATGATTCTCCTGGTAAACAAATGCATCCTGGATTTTAGTTCTCCAAAGAATTCAGGCAAATTCAATAACTTTGATCTCTTTTTATTTGTATTGCTTTAGGCTCAGTCTTTCCAGGCATCTCACACATGTCATACTAATAGTTGAATTGAGCTTCATTGTTCAGCTGCAGTTCTTTGATGAAACCAAACCATAATGTAAACATAAAAGGAATCTAATTCTTATATTTAGGGAACAAGAAAGGGTCTGTCTTCATAGACTGACCAATTTAGTTAAATAGATAGTTTAACTATGCAATTAGTTAAAGGCAGAGCCTTCCACCTGCAGATTTAAGAATAGTCAGTATGTGAACATTGGGTCTTATTTTTATCTGATTTATAACACCAAAACTTCTCATGGAGGGCCATTCTCACTTCTCTACTGCAGTGTCATTATGTATGTGACTGGATTGAAATGAAGTGGCTTTCATATTTAAATCAGGTGGTTTAGAAATGGACTACAGGACAAGTGAAGGAGTCATGCGTGTTGCAAACAGAATCGTGTCATACTGCGGGATGACTTCCACTCTGCCACACGTTTTCAGGACTGGATAATGAAAACAAGTTTTATATCTTCCCTGTACATTCACTATTTGTACTTCCTCATCCCAGCACTCAGGGGAAAAGGGAAAGGAAAAAGGAATCAAAATGATAGGATGCTATATTTAGCACTCAAAAACTAGGAGGGGAGAGTGGATAAATTTTTATAATCTCTCTCAGTGCTCCTTTTAGCAGAAGCCAGGCTAAATGTGCAGTTTACATTATCGTCTTTCAGCCTTACTGTTTGGTGGCTCAGTTTCCACTTGGTGACATTATTTGACATCTGGTTGCCTGTATGCACATACCTGCAAGCAATATGTGCCTATTACACATTTTTGACAGTAATAGCCTTCTATTGGTTTATAAAAATTAACTGATCTAAAATGGGAAAGTATTTAATCTCAGTGCTTCCATGCTTGCACAGAGAAGTAGCCTGCTGCAAAAGAGAGGGCATATATATTATTATATGGCATTATGAAAGCACCTGCCTTATTCCAGTGCTTGTGTGACGCAATTGCTGCTGGCAGGGAGCTGACCAAGAGTGGGGAGGTAAATGTGCTATCCTCTGTGTTAGCACTTAAAAAACTTAGAATGTTCCTCAAGTAAGTTGAAAATTCAAAGCCTGGGGTTTCTGATGAGCTGTCAGTATATGTAAAACATATGTTTACTCTTAGGGTGATGTGATGCTATCACCTGAATGATTGATTTCCAAAACCGACCTGCTTCCAATCTTCAAACCAACAAAGGTTTATACGTGTTTGGGATGAAAGCAATTCTGACAAGCAAAGTAGTAGAAGGGGAAATAGCTTGTAAAAGTAGTTGAAATCACTTTTCTGAAAGGTGTGAATTCTGATTTGTAAAGTCAAAATAGAAACCCCACAAAAGTTCCTGCAGTAAAAATGTACTACTGTTACAGTAGAGGTTGACACATTGTAGCCTATTCTTCATGCTTCAGCAAAATACCATGTATGAATGCAGCCTTCCAAAAAGAGGGGGAAAGAAAAAGGGAGAGAGGGAGAGGGAAAAATCAATCCGTTAAAGTGAACACTTCACCAAAAGAGTGAATTTTATTCAAAGCTGAGTGATCTGATCCTTTCTTGTTCAGCTCTTTGTTAAAGTGGGGGAAGGTGGGAGAAGAAATACGGAAGTTCCCTGTCCCAGAGGATGGTGGGGTGGTGAATTCTAATTGGGATGTAAATTGTGTTTGTGTTATCTGTGGAGACTGGCCTGTGTTTGTTAATTGGCATGCTGAGATCATTTTGAAATGGTTGATATAACACCGTAGTCCATTGAACAGGAAGCTCTGCTGTTTTCACAGTTTGATAATCAATGCATCACTGCACACAATTCCTTTCAAATGTGTGTTTGTTTGTCCTGTTTGCTTAATTGAACAGCTGGAATTACTGTTACATACAACTGAATGTTAATTCATGGACGAAGAGGATTTTGCTGCTTCATTATAAGTTTATGTAGAAATTGAAAACCGATGAAACATTAAGTGTTAATTGAGTGCACAGTTCCGTAGGTTTAATAAACCAGGCATGATAAATCATATTTTGTACAAAAAATAATTGATTATTGGCTGAGGATTTCTTTTTTAAGTTCAGCACTGCTTTAGTAATATACAGTACGCGTCATTCAATTGCTGTTTGCAAACTTGTGGAAGAATATAGTATTTTCTTGTAAAAAACCTTATGTTGATGCATACTGTTAGTTGCTTTCTCCTGATCTCTGGGACAAGTCTTAAAAATAACAAGTTTGTCATGATAAATTTTGCTTAATGATTCACTGAAGTATTTCCTATGTATTTCACCCCTTAACTGAGCTTACAGCATGAGAGTACTCTTTTAGTTGTTGCTAAATTTTGTGCAATGTTATTAAGGGTGCTGTAGCAATCCAGTTAGAGCCTGAGTTTGTGTTTCAGGGTGGTTATGCTGCCTACCGGTATGCCCAGCCTGCCACTGCCACTGCAGCTGCCTACAGTGACAGGTAAGTCCTCATTTACTGCTAGTAAATATTTGACTAGTGGAAGTTGAAGATGATTCTATGAATTTGCCTTGTTGAAGTCTCATAACTGTCTTGTTGCTCTGCAGATAATTGTGATATCTAAAGCAGGCTGTTTTATTATAATCCATGAATAGCCATAAATTGAGAGATTTTAGGCCTTAATTGAAAATCAGGCATAAAATGTGCACATTCCCAAGCTGTAGATCATCCAGTTAATATCTGTGACCCTTGTACAGTGTAGATAAATATATGTACAGCTTCATGATGGTCTGCTACTAAAGGTTGTTATTTGTCTTAGGAGTATTATTTCAGTTGATTTAGAACCTGAACCTATTGAGTGTCCTCAGTTCTCATTGACATTGTTTTAGTCAGTGGAAATTGAGAATGAACTGTGTCTAAGTTTGAGCTCTCCAAGGCTCAAGATTTTTTGCCATTTGATTTCTGTCCAGGGATTTGATTTCTTTTAAATAGTGATAAAAAACTAAGTTATTCTTCATTTGCTCTGTATTTTTAGCCTCAAAATGTAAACCACATTTGGTGGAATTAATAATAAAAGATTATTAAAATCTGCATGAGAGAAACATGTAAAGATTTAACTTCTAAAAACTAAAAGTGATGCCAGATAAATTAACTTGTCTTCTTGCAAGACAAAAATTGAGACCCCCTTTGAAGTCAGTATCTAAATTGCTGCTGACTTTAGTAGGAATAGGATTTTGTCAAATTGCATAAAATTAAGTCTTTGCAGTATGTGGACATGATTTTGTAATGAAAAGATAGAATATCATATGTTTTCTTCACAAAGTGTACCCTAACAAAATCTATGCTATCCATAATACTTTTCAAGTATTTGAATAGGGTACAATTGTAAAGGGAGGATGTGTATTGTGAAGGACAGACAGTTGCATATATTTTGCTTCACATTAGCAGCAGGAAGTAAGGTCACACTTCTCAGTTCCTGATATGAAAAAAATTCCCTTGAAATCATGGAGATAATTTAAGTCCTGAATGTGTATTGAAAAATTTCTTTAGATGCTAAATTAGACATTATTTAAAATGTTTCTGTTTCTTAAAGAAATCAACAGATTAAGACATTTCAGTAAACTATTTGTTAGATTGAAGTGCTGTTCATGGATTCTGTATTTTTAGAACAAAGTACCATGGTATGAATGTTACAATGCTATGCATGCATATTTGCCTTTCAAATGCTTATCTTATTATGAAGATATATTTTTTTAAAGTTATGTGAATAAAATAATTTGCATGTATGGCTGAGGCATGCTGTGTCAGACAGGTAAGCAAGTTACTTTCTATTAATTTTGAATCAGTAATATCAACTAGATATGTGCTGTATGCACTGTGTTCACAATGTGCTATTTCTACTTAGGGTAACCTACACAGGTGAAGCGCTACTCAATAGTTTCATTTCATTTCCACAAAGGTGTGTTAGCATGTCGCAACTCTATTATTTTTCTGTGAGCTTTTAATGCAAAGCAGTTCCTGCTTCTAAAAGGTTACTAAACTTAAAGGACAAAATTATAAATTACCTCCTGTGGTTAGTCATTTTTTGCCAGATAGCATTCAGGTGTCCCTGGATCATTTTATAGGATGTTTATTCCTATGAATAAATGAATTTCTGAAAACCTATACATTACATACAGTAACTGAACAATATCAAGTTATCTTAAATGCTTTAATTATGAATTAATGTACTTTCTCATAAAACAAATCAAATGCTGTAAGCTAAAACATTAGTTGATCACATGTTCTCTTATGGGTAGAGAGTCAACACTACAAAGAGTCATGCTGAGAAAAAAAGTAAAGGATTTGTTTAAGAAGATAGTGCTCTTAAATGCTGTAAAGGAAGCTTGAGATGGCATCAGTAGTAATGCAGGTTTACAACCCTTAATTACTTTTTGAAAAAATGTCTAATTTTCAGATACACTCTGTGTATAATTAGAATTGTAATAACATGCCTTTGCTTGCATAAATATCTTAAATGAATTTTATATCTTTTGGATTTTTTTTTTTTAATTCAGCTTCTCCTTTTAAATGTGGTTGACCTTCATCTTTGATCAGCTTCCCACAAATGAATATGGTTTCTTGTCTTAATTACAAATACTGTAACTGAATTTCTTGATGGGAAAACTCTAAAACTAGCATAGAGAATAAAATAAAGAACAATCTGCTCAAACATTTCTTTGCATATGGGAAACTATGTGCAAATGTGGATACCTCTGATTACCCACAGCCAGTTTGCTTAATTTGATTAGCTTTCCATTTTTTAATGAATTTAATTCAGCAGCTTTCGTCAATTACTAATATTGAAAGTACTGAAATATAGTTCAGTAACACTGCTTGTTTCTTTTCTTCTCAATGTAATAATCATCTGCTGTCCTCTGGCAATATTGAACATTCCGTATCTCCCTATACAACACTCTTATTTAGTCTTTGAGCTCCTTTTAATTTAATTACATGAAATACATTGCTGTTTATGTGTAAACAATGCCCAGAAAAATGAATTGAGGACCAGTGAGTGTGTACCATTGAAGCAGTGACATATCATGGAAATACTACTTCATATCAATTAAAAAAAAATCAAAAAGCTTTATTTTTTTATCACAGCTTGTATAATCAATGCAAATGTTCCATATTTGACATACTTTTTAAGCCAGGAGATGGAAAGAGGAAATCTTTAGGTTGGAGACATGTTTTGGTAAATTAAAAGTAATGGTTGACAGAAAGATTTGATATTCCAGAATCAATACACCAAGTCAGTGGATTATGATCATTGGAAGAGAGCTCTATTGTGAAGAAATGCAATGGTATCCTTGTTTGTCACAGCTGGAAATACTGCTGGAAATAGGCAAAGAACAAATATATAGGGGAGAATCAGTTGGCAAGGAAATCTCATGAAACAAATCAATGCAAATCCCTACATATTTCTTACGACAAATCGTGTACTCCTAAAAGCAATTTCACAGTGGAGGTAGACCTTATAGGTTTCTCCAGTCATTTCTTAAGACTGTAAAACAAAAATAGCAAAACAAACAAACAGGTACCTTTTGTTCTGTTTATGAATCAATATAATAACTGATTATAACTTCAGACAAATTTAGAAGTGGACTTTATACCATGTGATCTATCATCATATTGAATTGTATTTAAAGATTCAAAGTTCTTTGCAGAAGGGGAACAAACAATCATGTTTAACTTTCCAATATTTAAAATATTTCCAATAAATTTTCCAATTCATAAAACTGATAAAAGAGGACCTACTAGTTTATATATGTACTTCACCATTCTGGAGCTTTGCCTGCCAAACTCCTTAAACAGAGTGTTTGGAAAAAATTAATCAGATGTCAGTAAAATGTTTGTGCAGCTTTTATTCAGCTTTCGTGGAATATTTTTGAAAATAAAAATAAAATAGTTGTTAGATTTCTCTCCAAGTCTGAAGTTAGATAAGTAGCCAACTCATCAAGTTTTATATTTATGAGGTAGAACAAGTCAAAGCATGGCAGTGGGGCGTATTGTCATTTTGTCATTGCATGTTCACTTGATGTTGCTACTATGTCTGTAATGCTGTATTGGATTTGACAGATCCATCACATAGCTCAGTGAATGGCTTGCTTGAATTAAGCCTATGGGCAGACTTATTCACATTGGTTGGCTATTGGTTTTGTGTTTTATGATTTGATTATTGCATCTTCGATGGGAGTAAGAAAAGTGTTCCTTTCTTGCATATTAACTTTGTCAGCAATATTTATGAAAGTGTATATGGTAGTATAATAAAACCAAACCCCAATAACAGTAAACTAGCCTTGTCTGAAAGGCAGTCATTTCATTTGTACTGCTTGCTAACCCTGTTACACTGAATAGTGAGTTATGTGTGTTTATATATGTATAATTGTGTATTCATATATATACACACATTCCCCATCCATCACCCACCTACAAACACTTACCCCCTCACACACATATGTGCATATTTTGCTCTGACTGTAATTCCTTTTTCCTAATAAAGAGTCAGATTAAGTCTCACTAAAAACAATGGGAAGACTCCCATTGAATTCTTTGTTGTCTGGATTAGATCCCTCATCACTGGAAGCTGACCTCTTTTTTTTTTTTCACTGATCTTTTTTAAACACAAATAAAGCATATTCAAAAATATTTTGCACGTAACACTTTGGTTTGATTTTTTTTTTTTTAGTATTGGTTTGTGTTACATGTTCTGTGGTCATCTACAGGATTTTATCTGGAATTAGAGACAGGAGATCTTGTCATATGGAAGTTGTGTACCTTTACATTTTTAACATGCCTATGTAGGGTATTCACTTTTATCAAGGTACTAGTGTCTACAGAGATATAATCTAATGTATTTTCCACTTCTGTTGGGGCAAGTAATTCAGAATAATACTTGATATTTGTGGTTAAAGTATTCAAAAATAGAATATTACATATTTTATTTAATTGGAAACATACTTATTAAAGAATGAAAAAATAGAACAAAGAATAAAAGTACACAAAACATAAAATGTGAATGTAGATGGAGGTGATTTTTTGTATACGGTAGACTTTAAGATCTATTTTACAAATAAACAATGATAACCACTATAGTTTTATTCGAAATATATTCTCTTACAGAGGATTTTACTAGTGACTGTACTAAAAATTCAGGTTACAAGAGCATATAAATAGAAGAGCATCTTCAGTCAGAATTTAATCTTCCATTTAATAATTTTATAGAAGGATAAATATTTTTAAATGTAGTACTTCATGATCATACTTTCTAAGATTTAAGAAAAAGACCTTCTATACAGTTTTAATTTCTAAACTAATCAGGTTGGAAAGGAAAAAGAATAGAATACAGTGATAACTTTAGTCTTTCTTCAAATCTTCAAACCTTCTGTATTTTGCTGTACAAGTTGAATCTTGAGAAATGGACCAGTTTGGGGGACAAGATGAGGGATAAGCAAGAATTGTAC